TACATCCTACTATCCGCAAATTATACTATACATCCAGGTGTAGCTGTAGTATTTTTGTAATTCTTTAAAAGTTTCAGTTCAGTTATTAACTTATTATACATTGCTTTAAATTCCCTGCACTCTTCTCCATCTCGATGCTCCTCCCTGCACATGTGGAACTCTCCCTCCCGATACTCCCCCTTCCATTTTTTTCTTTATTTCAATATTAGGGAGAACTATCAAATAAGCTCTCGAACTTTCATTAAAAGTGCAAATAAGCCCTTTTACAGGAGGCTTTGTTCAGCTGTCGTCATTTGGAGCGGTTTTCGGTGGAATTTTTTTATGCAATTCTTTGAGCATCTTCTTCATTAAGTCTAGTTTACCCATACCAAATTTCAGCTAAAAGTTCAATCGAGAAGGCAGTCAAATGATTTTCTGAAATATATGGCGCTGTCTAACTGCGCAGTTATCTTCAAAAATTAATTGACTGCCTTTCCGATTTAATTTTTATCTGAAATTTGGTATGATTAAACTAGATTTAGAGGCCGTTTGGCAATACCGTTTTTTCGGCTTATCAGGCTTATCCACAAACTTTTTCACCAAACACGTATGTTTTGCTTTCATGCGCTGAATTGTGTAATAAGAAGAAAAAGTAAGGTTGAAGTTACTTTTCTGGCTGTGTTGGATCAATAAAAGATACGCCTTTTCAGTTTTCACATCTCTTTAGTCTTTAAAGCTTTTTATTAATTTTATTACTAGTATAACATAACAAACTTATATAATTATTTTAGAGCATGTGGCTCTCAAATCTCATCCCAATTATTTATTTGTTTCCAAATTTCAATAAATCATAACTGAGCTCCTAATAGTTGTTTTAAAGGACGTCAAATTGGCAGTCTTCTTGCACATGTCTTCTTGGTGGCTAAACATTTTAACTCTTTAAAAACCTTCACTCATTCGAGGATTCAAATTTTAGACTCTCATTAGTGATGAATAAATAGTTCTAAACTTATGAATTCAGTTTGTAGTAATATTTCTTTTCATTTATTGTATGTCATGTTTATTAGTGGAAAGAATGTTGCCTATGAAACGATTATTGATGATTTGCTATACATTGTTCTATGAGAAACGTTTTTAAGCAATGTCTTTTTTGCATTTTATTTGATACTCTTGTTGTTACTATGTCCCAAATATGTAACCTAAATAATACTAGTAATAAAATGACTATCGCATTTATTTTATGAACTCCATTGGATACTTTTATTATAATTCATATTTCAAATAATTATGTGGTTTACAGTTTGTCTTGGATATAAGCCCAAAATAGTGTCTCGCCTATAGGTCCAAAAATGAACAAGATCGGCCCTGAGGATCGGATAATTCATTTTGTAGCTAGTTTCCATAACTTTTCTATGGAGGGAAATGAGTCGAATTGGCCGGTGTATAGTACATCCTATTATACTATACATCCAGGTGTAGCTGTAGTATTTTTGTAATTCTTTAAAAGTTTCAGTTCAGTTATTAACTTATTATACATTGCTTTAAATTCCTTGCACTCTTCTCCATCTCGATGCTCCTCCCTTCACATGTGGAACTCTCCCTCTCGATACTCCCCCCTTCCATTTTTTTTCTTTATTTCAATATTAGGGAGAACTATCAAATAAGCTCTCGAATTTTCATTAAAAGTGCAAATAAGCCCTTTTACAGGAGGCTTTGTCTGGCTGTCGTCATTTGGAGCGGTTTTCGGTGGAATTTTTTGATGCAATATTTTGAGCATCTTCTTCATTACGTCTAGTTTACCCATACCAAATTTCCGCTAAAAATTCAATCGAGAAGGCAGTCAAATGATTTTCTGAAATATATGGCGCTGTCTAACTGCCCAGTTATCTTCAAAAATTAATTTGACTGCCTTTCTGATTTATTTTTTATCTGAAATTTGGTATGAATAAACTAGACTTAATGCAGAAGATACTCAAAAAATTTGACTAAAAAGTTCTACCGAAAACAGCCCCAAATGGCGATGGCTGGACAGAGCCTCCTATAAAAGGGTTTATTTGCACTTTTATGAAAGTTCGAGTACTTATTTGATAGTTCTCCCCCAATATCATAAAATTCTTCTCAAAATTGATTAAATTAGAATTCTGAAAACATTAAATGTAATGATAATCAGATTGAGACATCTACATTACTCTGTTTAACTAGTAACAATTTAATAGCTTCATTAAAATTATCTTCTAAATAGTAATTCTCACCAACTGTTCAATTCCGAAGTGAGTTTTTGTTCATTTCTTGAGCAAATTTCAAATAAACTTTGTTGTACTTGAATATAGTATTGATTATGTATAATTTATTTTGCATAATAGTTCTATTTTCATTGAATTAAATAACTTTTATGCTACTTGAATAAAGGAATTCTTGATTTCATTTGTTATTTTCTAAGTTTTTTCATTAAACAGTGTGCTATTAGATTTTATGTTTGGTTTTTATATATTGGATTCAACTATTAATGATTCTCATGTGATATTTTGAGCGATTAACGGTATACTTTTCTATCATTACATTTAAAATAAGCACTCACCAATTTTATAATGTGGGTTATGTTAAAATGGGTTGAACTTTATAGGCTTTGGCACTTAGGAACATAGACAGATGCCTAGGGCATCACTCTTGGAGAGGGCCCCGTTTTTTAAAAAACTAATATTATTAACTATACAGGCATATGGGCATACCCTATTACGGTTTTTGTAACTGTAATATGTCATGACTTTCCTATAGCAATTATTCTTATCAGCTGTTATGGAGTATTATATACCTTCAAATTATTACAAAGTACGTAGGGTAAATTACACCGTACAGCCACCTAGAGCATGGTACAGCCCGGTATTTTAGTAATATATTGGAAAACTGTGATCGAACTATAACTGCTGCGCGGCTGCACTAGTGCTCCAACCTTCCCAATCTCCGGACGACAGGGGCTAGGTTTGGGGGGGAAACTTATGCTGCTACTACAAATCATCTGATTACAAGTCGCCTTGTGTCCATTCTGTCTTTCTATGATAGCGAGGGCCGTAGGTGTAGAAGCAGTCTGTAGAAGGTGTCGATGTCTTCGTGGAAGACAAAGTAAACCACGTAGTCACGTAGAAGATAATCCTTTGGCGCAAATGCTAAAATTTCAACCACAGGGCTACTCCCAATGCATCATGCATGTATTACGTATATAGATTCAAAAGTTTAAATTGGGGTCTTAATATTTGAGTATATTCACACACACACAAATTAATATTTGAGCAAACTAGCAATTTTAAATGAGCAATTTTGAATTTTTCGATTCTCATTTCGTAAGCCATGTATGCTCATTTGATATTAGTATAATGCTCATTTTAAAATGACATATCAATACATATTGCCCTACAAAAGAGCATCCCATTACCGACGGACGTTTTCCAACCGATTTAGTGGTGGAAAATTTGCAACGAACTTCGGACGGACTTCTAACGGATGACGACGGGATTCGGTGGGAATGGCGTAGATTTTTTTTAGCCCTGCTACGGATATATCCGTCGGAAATCTGTGGGGAAGCATTTACAAATTCGTCGGGATTCCGTAGGAAAGCGGTTGGAAGTATTTGGCTTCCGGTTCGGATGCAATCCGTTGGAACTCGGTTGCAAAGGGATTGGAACGCTGTTTCCAATCCGTCGGAAACTCGTTGGAATTCCGTAGGGAATAGATATTTTTTAAACTCACCGACAATTATTTGGAGAAATCAATTTGAATCAAACCTTATCTCTGCCCTCCTGCATTTAGATTGCACTTCAATTGCCAAGATGATAGGCACCTCCCATTCATCTTCCTAAACTATTTTTTTTAAATCTTGGTTTCGTCTCTATACTTTTATAATGTATATGATAGATAGAAGTTGGATGTACGATAGATACGATCCAATTTCAAAAAATGTTTCTGCAAATTTCATGAATGGTGTTGAAAGTTTTGTTGAATTCGCTCGTCTTCAACATGAATTTATTGGCGGAGAAGAAATTCGATGTCCATGTTGGAAGTGTGGTAATCGACGCTTTCATGCTATTGAGGAAGTAAAGCTTCATCTTTTTAGACATGGATTTATTGCCGGTTATGAAACGTGGACTTCTCATGGAGAATTGTTACAAGGTTCGACATTTTTGAATTCTCAAACCCCAAATGAACATACTACCGAAAATGTTCATGGAGCATATTCAGGGAGTCAAGATGAGACACCATGGGTCAAAGAATGTTAGAAGACATTTTCGGAGGACACGTGCCGATAGACTCCACAAACTATGATCCTAATTGTGGAGAACAAAGAGGAGATGAATCACCAAATGAAGATGACATATCATACTTGGCTGATCATTTTCAAAATGTTTTGCAAGCTGCAGATAAGCCTTTGTATGAAGGTTGTAATGAAGGCTCCCAATTGCAATTTGTTTCTGAAGTAATGAGAAGTATCAAATCTGATTTTAATGTTCCACAAAATGAAGTCAATCGGTGGCTGGAATTATTTGGTCGATACTTACCCCGTGACAACACTGTTCCTAGAAATTATTACGAGACAAAAAAACTTGTGGCTGAATTAGGTCTTCCTGTGGTGAAGATTGACGCGTGTCCTAACGGGTGTATGTTGTTCTGGAAAAATGATAAAAAGTTGGAAGTGTGTACATTTTGTGGTGAGAAGCGTTACACATATGATGCATATCAGGATTGTCGGTCAAAAAGACAGAAACGAACTGCTATTTCAGTATTACGTTATCTACCTTTGACACCGAGGCTGCAAAGATTATATGCATCACGTCAAACTGCTGAGTCCATGATATGGCATTCTACTCATGAATCAATTGGAAATTTGATGGGTCATCCTTCTGATAGTGAGGCGTGGAAACACATTGACAATTTATATCCCCACTTTGCCTCAGATCCACGTAACGTTCGATTGGGATTGTGTTCTGATGGATTTGCTGCACACGGGCAGTATGGTGCATCGTATTCATGTTGGCCAGTTATTCTCACAACGTACAACCTTCCTCCTGGTATGTGCATGAAATCTCCATACATGTTCTTATCTCTCATTATTCATGGTCCGATGTGTCCTAAGCGAAAAATTGATATTTATTTACAACCGCTTATTGATGAGTTGAAACATCTTTGGGATGAGGGTTCTAGAACGTATGACGTGGCAAAAAATGAAATGTTTTCTATGCGAGCTGTTTTAATGTGGACAATTAGTGACTTTACTGCATACGGGATGCTATCAGGCTAGAGTACTGCTGGGGTTTTAGGATGTCCTATTTGTATGGAAAATAGCAAGGCTTTCCACCTTAAGTATGGTGGAAAAGCATGTTATTTTGATTGTCATAGACAATTCCTTCCACGCAATCACTCGTATCGTAGAGATGTAAGTTTCTTCACAAAAGGAAGAAAGGAAACTAGTCATCCACCTATTAGATTATCGGGGACACAAATATATGATCGCATAGCGGTGATGGATACAGCAGTGGATGATCCCCGTGAATTACCTGAAGGTTATGGGACAATTCATAAGTGGACAAAAAAAAGTATATTTTGGGATCTCCCGTATTGGAAAAATTTATTAGTCAGACACAATTTGGATGTTATGCACATTGAGAAGAATGTGTTTGACAATTTATTTTATACAGTAATGAATGACAAAGAAAGGACGAAAGATAACTTGAAGGCACGGAAGGATGTTGGAATTTACTGTGATCGTCCTAACATAGGTGTGACCTCTGATTTTGTTGATAAAATCAATAAGGCTGTATACACAGTTACAAGTGCACAGAGAAAAGTCATACTTGAATGGATTGCTTCTATCAGATTCCCAGATGGTTACACATCTAACTTTCGTAGATGTATTAGTGCAGACAGTTTAAGAGTAGTGCATATGAAAAGTCATGATTGCCATGTTTTTATGCAAAGACTTATCACGATAGCGTTTCGTGAAATGCTCCCAAAAACTGAGTGGCAGTTAATTGCTGAGCTAAGTCAAGTCTTCCAAACCCTGTGCACACGTGTGGTAGATGTTGAATTGCTTAAACAATGAGAGAAATCTGTTATTCTTCTGCTGTGCAACATGGAGAAAATATTTCCACCGGGATTCTTTACTGCATTTGTACATTTAATCGCTCACTTACCCTATCAAGCAAGAGTGTGTGGATATGCATGCCTTTAGCATTGGTTACTGATAACCCTTGACAGGTCAATCTAGAAAAAAGTGTTTCATACTTTAATAAAGTCCATTTTTTGAACATGAGTTGTAAAGTAGATGATGTTTTTTGTATAGAAAGGCGATTTCCAGTTTGGTAAGAATAGTAGAGCATATTTGACTTTTGTTTGTATCTCAAATGAACCATGCCACATTTTTATTTTTGGTTAGCATTGTAAACACCAATACAGAATCTGTAAATGGTGTCATTTCCTCTCCATTGACCCGCTCTCCATTTCCTCTCAATTGAATCTGTTAAACCGGTTTTAACATCAAGTTGTTTTTGATTTAATTGTTATAATTTGAACTAGTCCATTTTACACTATTCAAATGAATTTGAGTAATTGGTCTCATGTTTATAATCCTATTATTTAGTTTAACATGTCAGGACGGTCAAGCTTCAGTAGGACTACGGGAGGAAGAGGGGGAAGGGGTGGAGGTAGAGGACATGTTCTGGTGATGCAAAATTATGACATTCCAATTATTGAAGAATATGACTCTGACGAGGAGGAAGAGATTGAAGCTGAGCAGGGTATGAACGAAAGTCGATCATTAACCCCTGAAGGACACCATGAATCAGCTGCCTCTGTATTTGGATCTTATGGTGGTGAAGGGTCTTCCAATATAGTTCAAACACCCATATCAGTTGAAGACTTTACCAGGTAGTTATTTGATATTACGCAATAAGTATTACTTCTGACTATTATGAACAGAATATATAATTCATTAACATATTCATTTTTTTATGTTAAATGATTGTAGGAAAAAAGTTCTCAACGAGATAAAAAATATATTAGAAGGATCTTACAGGGGACCGTGGATTTGTTATGGAGATGTAACTAAGCCTTATCGCGAGTCATGGTTTAGGGACTTTGCGGTAAACTTGAGCATATCAAATTTGTGTATAATTTATTTTTGTTTGGTATTTTACTTTCAGTATAAATCTATGTTTTATGTAGCGGAACCACACATACCCCCGAGCTGAAGAATCTGAAATCCAACGTGCTTTTAACTCTAAATGTTCAGTGTGGTTGAAGGGTGTGTTTAGTGAAGCCCGAAGGAAAAAAAAGGGGTCCCATGGATATCTGCAGTAAATTGGAAGTTAATGCTAGAGGAGTGGGCATCTGAAAAGTTTAAAAAGAAGTCAGAAATAAACAAAGCAAATAGCACTTCTGAATCATGTAGAAGCTCACCATATTGTGGAGGGTCTGTTTCTCAAAAAGTTAGAGCGGAACGATTAGTAAGTTTTCCCGTGTAAGGTACTATTTATATTAAATTAGGCGGTGTGGAATGAGTTATTGATTATATATTTTTAAACAGGATGTGCAATTGGGTAGGACACCGCTGGCTACTGAGCTTCTCAAAGACGGGTTTCAAAAAAAAAAAAGAACTAATGAATGGAGTGGTCCACGAGCTCAAGAGATTGCAGTATAATTATATTTGTACTGTTTTGCGCATTTTCAGTTTCAATACACAAGTATTTATATTTTTTGACTTAGAATATAAGTATTGAGGAATATTATGTCATAATTACTTTTAGTGCATTATTATGTTTAGTCTGTGTATTTGATGTTTCCAGTTTACTTCCAGTTTAATTTTGGCTTAGAATATAAGTTTTGTTCTTACAAGTAGTATTGCAATTACTTCCATTTTATTTAAGGGAGAATTTGACTTTGCACCCCTTGTTTTGGGTGATATTTTAGTTTGCACCCTATTTTCAAAATCATTAATGTATGCACCCCAATTCACTATAAAATCATTTGACTTTGCTCCCCACTCCTTCATAATTTTTGGGCTAATAGGGTGCATACATTAATGATTTTAAAAATGGGGTGCAAACTCAAATTCTCCCTTTATGTAATGTAGTACTTATTGAAATTGTGATCTTAATTAGGAAAAAGTTGTAGCAGAGGTAGACCGTAAAAAACAAGACTCCGAAGAGGGAACAAAAGTCGATGAAAATGCAGTTTTTTTGAAAGTGGTATCTCCAAAAAAAGGCAAAATATTTGGGGTGGATCCCTTTACTGCAATGGCTATGTGCAATGGTTCATTAGATACCACATTGAGTAGACAGACCCAATATGTGAAGCTTGATGATTTCAATGCTTTTAAATCGTCGATAATGGATCAAATAGGACAAATGATGGTGAGGCGGGAGATGGATTCTACTCATGGGTCGAACAACCTTTCAAATCCAAATATGACACAAGGTCTTATGTCTCAGCTTCATACCTTTATGTTTCCTACGGTTCCATCCGGGATGACTCACAATTTGAACGCACAACAGGCCCCTTATTACCCAACAATGTACCCGAATGGCTACATGTCCGGACAGCAATCTGTGCCACTTCATCCCTCTATGCCTTCTCAAGTGCCATTTGAATTCAATCCTCTACAAAACCGTAATATCACAACTCTGGATGACACATTTCTGAGCACTATATTTGCTGCAAATGAGAGAGGAAATGAAGGAGGCCAATGAAGAAGTTATTGGAATTTGAGTTTTTGGTGGTGTTGTGTAATGAACAATTTCCTTTAATTTGTCAAACTTCTGTTTCATGTTGTTTGTTTGTGTTTTAACTATCCAGAATACTACTTTTTTATGCCATGTTTTGAGATTGTGTTCTATATTGTGTAGTTTTGTTGGTGGTGATTTTCTACAATGTTACAATACTAGCTAGCACTCAATTATAAATAAAAAGAAAAAAATTAACATCTAGTGGTCTGCTAGTACATTCATCCAGAATATGTAATTTAAATCCAATTAATTATTATGTTGAAACTAGCTAATTTTTATTAACTTTCCAACCGATTAATCGGTTGGAAACTCGTCGGTCGCCGGTGAGCTTGAAATGAAAGTTTCCTACGAACTCATCCGTTGGAACTTTCCTACAGATTTATCCGATGGAATTCCGCTGGAACGTTTTGAAATCCGTTGGAAATGGTGGTTGGAAAATTTTCCAACCATTGTATTCCCACAGCCAATTTCTGTCGGTACTTCGTTGGAAATATCATTTCGAAAAACGTCTTTTTCGCTAAAATCCGTTGTAAAGTTCGTCGGTATTACACCCTTTTTTTGTAGTGTTGGTGTAATACTCATTTTAAACTTTTCACTTCCCATTTCGTAAGTTATGTTTACTCATTTAGTATTTGATCATACTAGAGATTTTAAATGAGTTCTTTGATTTTTCGATACTCATTTCGTAAGTTAGGTATGCTCATTTAATATTGGTGTAATGCTCATTTTAAAATGTCATATCATTGCATATTTCAAAAGTATGATTTTATAGTTTAATACACCGTAAACTTTTATAAAAGAAAAAATAATGAAATAAAATGAATTCGGATATATGAAGCAGAGATCACGATACTCGTTGTTGGGCTTCTAATGCTCAACAAAATATGTATGATGCTCATTAAAAGTGCAATAGTGCTCATTTAGCAGAATACACAAATTTCATTAAAATTACAAAAATGCCCCGGCTGTACGGTATACGCTTTCAAGTACGTAGTATTTGTTATCTTGTATCCAATTAATTAGTCCCTCAATCCCATTTTGTAAGATATGTTTCCTATTCACTTGGTCAACGAAAATCATTCTTAATCCCTTACTTTATATATCAAATTTGATTCTGGGTTTTGCGTATTTATAAAGCTTTTAATGTAGTTTCTGAATATGTAATTTTTTTTCTAAAAATAATTTGAGTGCGGACAGAGATCCGTTTGCTTTATCGTCGGTCAAACATCGTAAACCGTAAAGTGCCTTACAATTCGGGATGGAAGGGTATTATTTTTCACCCATATCTTTGATTGCTTTTATCTTTAAATCCGGTCCATTTATACATGAAATAAAATGCATAGTAGTATGACTTCTAAAAAATGGTGGACAAAAATGTGACTTAGTAATTATTACTCCATCCGTCCCAATTTGATGATCATGTTGCGGTTTACGATGCTTGACCGATGATAAATCAAACGAGTCTCTGTCCGCACTCAAATTATTTGTAGCAAATAAAATTTACGTATTCAGAAACTACATTAAAACCGCTACAAAGCCTGAAAAAAATAATTTAAGTTTCATAAACTTTTGATATAAAAAGTAAAAGATTAAGAGTAGTTTAAGTTGACCAAGTGAATAGGAAATGAGAACATCAAATTGAGACGGAGGTAGTAATAACTATAATTATATTCAAATTTATATCGTAGCTATGATGAAAACTTTGAAAACAGTTATAGTCATTACTAGTTCCTAAATCACATTTGTGTCCATTAATTTTTTATTAATATTCACTCCGTCCCATTCAAATGTTCTTACTTTACTTGTTTGGACGTTCTACCTAAAGGTTCCCATTTTCTATTATAGGAAAAAATTAATGATCTTAAAGAATAATTTAATCATCCAATATTAAAAATAATACATCTATAATTCACAATCATCATTAATAGTCCATTATATTATATACCGATCAAAACTATTTCTCAAAATATACTCGAATTGGCATATTAAATTGTTCTTTACATAATTGTGTCATTTTGCAATGTGAGCTTTTGAATGGGGAGGGGGTAATAATATTTAAGGAAAAACTCATTTATACATTTGTGCTCCCAAATATATAGTTTTTGTGATTTTTCTTTGCAAAATTGTATTATGAAATTGTTTTTAAAGTTAATTGTTTTAAAGTTACTGTTTTTAAAGTTATTATTTTAAATTTTTGCTATGATGGAAAATGGGATCAAGACTCATGCTTTAGGAGAAAATTTAAGAAAAAAGAAACGGAGTTTAAATGTACATCATTTTGAGGATTATTAATAGATATGTAACAAAACTTTCTCTTTCGGTTTCAAATAAAAATTTAGAGTCTTTTATATGTATGGTGTGATTTCACCTATTGTCTGGGGCACCATAATTTTTAAAAATGGCCCTGGAGCTTTATTGTTAAGAAAGATTTATTCTAAGTTATTGGTAATGTATATGTTACATGCGTGAGTTATAGAAAGGAGTTTTTTGTTATATATATATGAGCATAACTTTCAATATTGGTCTCCTTATACTCAGTAGAATATGTCTGATGCTCATTAAAATTTTATTAATGCTCATTTAACAGAAATCGTGATTTCATCTCAATTGAGGAGGTTTGATACTAAATGAAAATGTCGTGATGTTCAACTAATTAAAAAACCTTACAATTTTCATATCAATAAGCATTTTGTAACTTACGTATGCTCATTTGGTACCGATGTTATACTCATTTTTTTAATGTTGTATTAATGCATATTTCAAACTTATCATATTACATTAGATTCACATATTAAAATTCATGGGAGTGGATTATAGATATAAGTTAATAAAGTTTTATAAAAGAAAAAATAAGAAAAAGAAAGTGAATCAGAAAATATGAAGCGGAGATCGCGATGCTCATTGTTAGGCTCCTAATACTCAATAGAATATGTCAGATGGTCACTAAAATTACATTAATTCTCATTTAATTAGCGTAAGCCGTGATTTTTTCACTCAAATCAATATAACGCTTAAAAGAAATGAGTATACACAAATGAATATTTGAGCATAATGTTTGAAAGAAATAAACATTGGTATGACATAACAAATGAGGACAATGTTAATCCCAGAATACTA